CGGTGACTCGGGTGGGCGCGGTATCATGGCGACGTCGAGCACAGCAGACACGATGATGATAATAGCGACTCTGGTGACGACGATGACGATGACGATTGCGACGGAAACGCCGATGAATGCTGATCACGGCGAAGACGACGGTAGTGTTCGCGCGTCGGTGATCAAGGTTTTGGAAGGATTTCGACATGCGCGCGCGACCGACGGGCGCGAGCGGCCCGCATGGTGTATTTGACAGGGGCCGTGCCCCCCCAGCACGCGCGCAGGGGCGTTCGAACGATTCCGAGCTGCGCACGCGAGAGGCCCGTTTGGTCGCATGCGGTGAAAGTGTTGAGATCAGATAGTTTGTTTGGGAGAATTCGCAGGAGAGCGCGCGCAAGCTATTCTCTCTGGGAAAACATGTTGCAACATCGCGCGTTTCCGTATACGTGTTCGGAATACTCGATGTTGAAATCCTTACGACAACCCCTCCCCTCCACATCCTCTCCGTCCTCCTCATCCTCCCGCTGACCTCCACAAACTCACGCCCGCCCAAAGCAGTCACCCAACGCCTCGGGTGATTCTTTGGCGCGGGCGCCCCTTACAGGCGACGGCCTTCCCCTCCGCCGCCTCGCCTTCCTCCTCCTCCTCCTCCATCCTCCTCCTCCTGCTCCTGCCGACCTCCAGAAAATCAGTGCTCAGGCGACGGCCTCCTCCTCCTGCTGCTCCTCCTCCTCCTTCTCCTCCTCCTCCTCCTCCTCCTCCTCCTCCTCCTCCTCCTCCTCCTCCTCCTCCTCCTCCTCCTCCTCCTCCTCCTCCTCCTCCTCCTCCTCCTCCTCCTCCTCCTCCTCCTCCTCCGCCTCCTCCTCCTCCTCCTCCTCCTCCTCCTCCTCCTCCTCCTCCTCCTCCCCTCTTCCACGACCACGGCGGGCGGGGCGGAGGACGGGGGAGGGCAGGGCGCCATCAGGGAGCGACGAGTGCGAAGGACGTGTACGACAAAACCGTTGTTGCCTCGACATCCTCCCGAAGCACCTCGATATCCGGATCTCTCGGCCTCTGCGTGCAGAGGGTCGCGTGGCGGACATGGCTGGGCCACGGTTTCGATAAAAAACACTCTCGCCCGCGACATGGAGATATGGAGTCCCTGCTCGATCCCGCCCTTGACATCGAGATATCGAAATATCGACTCCCCGCTCGGCCCCACCCCGATATCGAGATAACGAGATATCGAATGCCGGCCCAGAGCCGCCGCAGATATCGAGATATCGAAATATCGAGATGTCGAGTCTCCACCTGGCCCCGCTGCCGATATCGAAATATCGAAATATATCGAGTCCCCGCCCGGCCCCGCCCCCGACATCGGGATATCGAGTCCCCGCCTGGCCGTATTCCCGATATCGAAAATATCGGGATATCGCCTGGCCCTGCCCCCGATATCGAGATTTCGATAAACAGAATCCTCCTGAACCCCACCGGGACGCCTTGCGACCACAATGATTGGGATACTTCTGCAAAAGCAAAGCGGAAACAGCGACGGCAAAGTGGGGCGGAAATCGACGTAATGTCCGCCCCACTTGAAAAATCGCCTCATGTACGGCGGATGCGACATCAAGGGGAACGGCTTTCTCCCACCTTCCCGTCGCTGTATCCGCCCTACCTTTGCGGAGTTATCCGCCTACTACTTGTCTGAGGCGGACATTTCTGCCCTAATTTCCCGCATCGTTTGGGATGCATGTCCGACGCAGCTTCAAATCGGGAAATCAACCAAAGCACGGCGGATCCGAAGTCAGGGTTGGGTGCCCCGAAACCAACCTCCCTCCTCCCTCCTCCCTCCTCCCTCCTCCCTCCTCCCTCCCTCCCTCCTCCCTCCCTCCCTCCTCCCTCCCCCTCCTCCTCCTCCCTCATCTTCCTCCTCCTCCCTCATCTTCCTCCTCCTCCATTGATTTGTCGCATGGTTAGTTTTAGAATCCGATTGTTTTCGCTGTTTCGAAATGGTGCTCCCGCTGCAGCGCGGGCCTCATTCTCGGATCGGCGTTTTGCTCCCATCGTTGAGAATGGCGCTCTCGATCCAGCGCGGGCCACTTTTCTGTATCCGCATCTTGCTTCATTGTGGTCCCCCCCTTTATTTCCCCTCCTCCGCCTTCCCCTGGTCCTCCCGATCCTCCTGCTCATTCCACTCCAGTTCCTACTGCTGCTGCAGCTGCTCGTCTCGCCCCAGCGCGGGCCACTTTTCTGAATCCGAGTCTTTCTTTATCGTTGTCGCCCCCCTCATTTCCCCTCCTCCGCCTTCCCCTGGTCCTCCTGCTCCTCCTGATCATTCCGCTTTAGTTCCTCCTGCTGCTGATCGTCCTCGTCCATTTCCTCCCGCTCATCGTCCTGCTCACCCGCCACCTCCCCCTCCAGTGCACGCAGCTTCCCTTCGTCTTCCAATTGCGCATAACACGAAATGGTCTTTCTGTGGGAGTCGCAGGTCGGCTGTGACACGCGTCCGCGGATTGAGAACAATCAATGCCATGGGAAGGGATGGGAGGGAGGGATAGGATGTCAGCTGAGGCGAGAAAGCACCTAGCTTGTCTCCTCCCCCTCTTCTCCCTCCTCTACATTTACCAATTACGAATACTACTCTCCCCTCTCTCCTGACACCGCCTGGAAGATCTTCGACCCTCTCCGCGTATATTTTCTCGCGTGCATGGTTTCCAGAATTGATGTGTCTTACGGTGTGTTGCAATCGATTGTGATCGATGCATAAGAATGATACTCCCGCTGCAGCGCGGGCTCGGATCGGTGCCCGTCATTCACAATGTCGCTCTCGCCCCAGCGCGGGCCAATTTACTGGATCCGATTGTTGTAGTTGTCGCCCCCCAGATTCCCCCTCCTTCGACTTCCCCTGGTCCTCCTGCTCCTCCCGCTCCTTCTAACCCAGTTCCTGCTTATGCTGTTTCCTCCTCCTCCTTCTTCTTCCTCCTCCTCCTCCTTCTCCTCCTCCTCCTGCTCCTGCTCCTTCTCATCCGTTCCACCTCCATGCTCATCTGCCACGCTTGTTTTTTCCGATTGTGCAGAACACGATGGGGGCTTTCTCTGGAGCTCCAGGTCCCCTAACTATGACACGCGCCGGCGGCTACAGAACAAAAAGACAGCGCAAGGGGACGGGATGCATGGGACGGGCAGGCAGTCAGATATGGCGCGAACGCACCTGACGTTCAGTCGGGAGTGCCCCCCCCTACAGGGGGGTTTTGGACGAAAAATCCCACATACCCCAAAAAATACTCCAACATAGTCACAAAATGTTGAAAAAATCGTCCCCAGACTATTTTTTGACTAGTTTTGAATATTCCTCCTGTAGAGGGACAGGCCAAGCCCGACTTAAACCTAAGATGCCTCCCTCCCCCCGCCCCCCTTCATCAAGGCATCCATAGGCGCCGATACCGCGACTCTCAGGGCCTCTCCTGGGGCACGTTCTGACCAACATGCCGACGCGAGGGCACCCCGGGAGGCCCGAAGAGGCGAAAAGGAGGCCAGGTTGGCGGCATCGGTACCTCGTCCTCCGCTGAATCCCTTCCTCCCCCCTCCTCTCCCCCCTTCTCTCCTCCCTCCTCTCCCTCCTCCTCTCCCCCCTCCTCTCCTCCCTCCTCTCCCTCCTCTCCCCCCTCCTCTCCTCCTCCACCCTCCTCCCACTCCTCCTCTCCACCCTCCTCTCCCTCTCCACCCTTCCTCCCCCCTCCTCTCCACCCTCCTCTCCCACTCCCCGGGACCAGCTTCTCATCCTGAGTCGTTCGTCGACGGTCCCGGGGCCCAGCGATCGCGGCCCACAAGGGGCCGAAAACGAACAAGAAAACGCGAGGCGTACTTTTTTTTCATGGTCCGATGGGGGTCAGGAAACAGCAAGATAGATCTGGCACTGCAAGGCCCCCCACCCAGGAACGCCTTCGGCCCACCAGCTCGCGAGCCCGAGAAGTGTCCGGGGAGGCTCCTGTCCCTCCTTCCTCCATTCTCTCCTCTCTCCTCCTCCTCCTTCTCCTCCATCGTCGCCCTCCCCCTCCCAGACTCTTCCTTTTTCTCGGCGGCAACGGCGCGGCGTCCGTGCCGAAAAAAACAAGCACCAGCCCAGAGGCTTAGCTGGTGCAGGGCCCGCTGCGCTGTCAGGCGCGAAGCCCTGAGCGCCGCATCGGGCGCCCAGGGTCCGCGCGGCGCGCCGCGCGCGCGAGCGCCGAGCGAGCGCGCTCGAGCGGAACGGGGAAACGAAGCTGGGGTAGCTCAGAACAGAGCACCGGAAACAAAAACGGCCAAGCAACTGCCCAGCGATTTTTCGAGCCGCGCCCGCCCCGCAGGGCACAGACGACGACACCCCCAGTGTGCCGCCCCATAAGCCAGTCGCAGCCGACCGCTCACCCCCGCGCACATCCAGGGCGGGGCACCCGTGCCGTGGGAAGGACGGATGAAGATCCCCCGATGAGCCACCCGCAGGCGACCCGCGTCACCGCCCGAGCCCTGGCGGGGTACCAGATGTGCCACCGCGAGGGGGACGCAGCGTGGCGACGAGGGAACAGTTTTCTCTCCCCCTGGCCCCACTGGGCAAACAGAGATGACGAACAGGTTGCCTGCTTTCCTGGGACGCCCGCGGGCACCCGGTGGCACAGGTGCCCCCCTTCTCTCCTCCCTCTCCTCCCCTCCTCTCCCTCCTCCTCCCTCCCTCCCTCCTCCTCCTCCTCCCTCCCCCCTCCTCCTCCTCCTCCTCCTCCTCCTCCCTCCTCCTCCCTCCTCCTCCTCCTCCTCCTCCCCTCCTCCTCCTCCTCTCCTCCTCCTCCTCCTCCTCCTCCTCCTCCTCCTCCTCCTCCTCCTCTCCTCCTCCTCTCCTGCTCCTCCTCCTCCTCCTCCTCCTCCTCCTCCTCCTCCTCCTCCTCTCCTCCTCCTTCCTCTCCTCTCTCCTCCTCCCCCTCCTCCTCTCCTCTCCTCTCTCCTCCCCCCACCTTTTCCTCCCTCTGCCGCCCCCCTCGGGTCGGGCACTGCTTCGGGCGCCCGCCCGCCGTCGAACCACAGCAGCCACAGCACGGCCGGCACCGGCCGGCGGGCCCCGGCCGCGCACGCCGTGGCCGCGGCCGCCGCGGCCGGGCCGGGGTCGGGCATCGGCGCGCGCGTGGGGGCTGTCTCTTTCTCGGCGGCGAACGAGGGGGGGCCACTGTCCTCCTCCTCCCTCCTCCTCCTCCTCCTCTCCTCCTCCTCCTCCTCTTCCTCCTCCTCCTCCGTTTCCTCCTCCTCCTCCTCCTCTTCCTCTTGCTCCTCCTCCTCCTCCTCCTCCGCCTCCTCCTCCTCCTCCTCCTCCTCCTCATAGCCTCAATGCTCCTTTCCCTCAGAGCCCCGGGAGGCGAGAAGGAGAAGGCCTTCTCAGAAGGCGGTGGGGTTTCTCAGAAGTCCTCGGCCCTTCTGACAAGCTTTCTGCGCCTCCCGGGAAGGTTTTCCGCGTCTCTCGGGAAGGCTTAGAGAAGCTCTCAGAAGGAGAGGGGGCTTCCGAGCCTTCTGAGAAGGCCCGCCCCTTCTCACCACTTCCCCCCCCCTGCTCGCCGCCGACTTTCGGGGGGGGGGGTGCTCGAGCGGCCCGAGGCCTACGGGGAGGGTACGAGAGGGAGCGGGTCGAGGAGGGAGGGGTCGGAGAGGGGACGCAGGCGCTCGGGGACTCTGGCGCCGTCTCTACGCTCTGGCGTCAGATCTACGATCTACGCTCTTCGACTTCGGGCGCCCGCCGACCAGTGAACCAGGTCACGACAACAATCACGACGGACGGTTCGGGCGATTTTCGGCCTATCGAGGCCCTCGCCGAGCCCCAGGCCCGTCAAACAACGAGACGGGATGAAAAAGCAGTCCACGGAATCGGCCGAGACCTTTGGGGGTCGACGTAAAGAACAACTCACGACGTCGGGGGTCTGGGTTCGGGGGGGGGGGGCTCGGGCGGCTCGAGGCCCAGCGAGGGTCGAAGAGGGAGGGGGTCGAGGAGGGAGGGGGTCGAAGAGGGAGACGGTCGAAGAGGGAGGGGTTCGAGGGGGGACTTTGGATCCGCCGTGCTTGGGCCGACTCTCCTACCTGGACTGTGTGTCGCACATGCGCCCCGCACGATTCGAAGACGTTGGGCGAACACTTGCGCCTCTGACCAGCAGGGCGGATATCTCCGCAGAAGCACGGCGGAAACAGCGACGGCAAAGTGGGGAGGTAATCGTCGAAGACGTGGGGCGAACATTTACGCCTCTGACCAGTAGGGCGAATATCTCCGCAGGAGCATGGCGGAAACAGCGACGGCAAAAGGGGGGGAGGTGGTTGTCGCCAAGAGGAGCGTGAACAGCAGGGCGGGCGTTCCGGGCCTGCTCGCGAAACCGCCCAGGAAGTACGGAAGATCCGAAGACGGGGAGGAGGAGGAGGAGGAGGAGGAGGAGGAGGAGGAGGAGGAGGAGGAGGAGGAGGAGGAGGAGGAGGAGGAGGAGGAGGAGGAGGGGGGGATGGGGGTCGAAGAGGGAAGGAGGGTCCCAAATTCCCTGCCGCTACGGGGGCAAACAGCATCGCGACGGCAAGCCGTGGCGTGCGCGGCTCTCAGGGGCCTCCTCGCCGGGGCCGGGGGGGCCTTCAAGGGGCCACGCGGGATGCCGAGCTGGTCCTAGGGGAGGGGCCCGGACTTCTGGGGGCCCACGGTGTGAAAAAACAGCGTCGTCGGAGGTCTGAGTTCTGCAGGGGTCGAAGAGGGAGGGGGGCGAGGAGGGAGGGGGGTGAGGACGGATGGGGGTCGAAGATGGGGGGGGGTCGAGGCAGGAGGGTCGAAGAGGGAGGGAGTCGAAGATGGGGGGGTGAAGAGGGAGGGCATGGAACGAGAGGAGGTGGCTAGATGAGGAGAAGGCTCGTCGCCATTTCGTGATCCCGCGACGCGTTTACCCGCAGGCGGCATGTGTGGCATGATCGGTCGGCCCGTGGCCAGGGTGCCAACATGTGGCGCACCCGCCTCGCACTCCGAACTCTACGGTCAGAAACAGCTGCTGCTTAGCGTGTCGCGGCGGCGGCCCCAGCGACGCGCTATGGCCCATGGCTTGCAAGCGGTTAGCGCGTCGCTCCGCTCCGCGGGGGCGGGAGGCTGGGAAAAGCTCGGCACGTGGGCGCCTGGGGACGGCGAAGTGGATAGCGCGACGCGCCGAGGCGTGGTGGGCCAGAACCGGTGGAGCGACACGCTAAGCAAGAGCTCTGGAGCGTAGTCCTTACCGCACTGTGAGAGCCTGCGAGAACCACGATGTGTCTGCACGCCTCGCAATCGTCTTCTGCCCGACGCAGTTGCGGAGGGCCTGTGCTGGGGGGGCGGGGGGGCGGTCGCCAGTTGTAGAGGGGAGCGCGGCAGGGTCGGTGGGTGGGTGGGTGGCACATGGCGACCACGAGCGTCGTCGCCCCGAGGGTGGAAGGCGGGCTGTGGCACGTGCGTCCCTCGCACCTTCGGGGCCACAGCTTTGACCCCGGACCCTGCCCGTGGTGACGCCTGCCACCCCCCAGCCGAAAGCATGCCGACGCCCGGCGCCTCACGTCTGCTCCCGCCGCCCTCCGCCGCCCCCTCCGGCGGCGCGCAGGCCGCCCCCACCCGCCGCCGCCGCCCGCCCGTGGGCTCCCGCCCAGGGCGAGGCCCTGCTGTCCGCCGAGATGTCTTCTGCAGTCCGCAGCACCAGGAGGTCCCGTCCGCTTCCCCGCAGCGGCAGCGTCTCGCCCCAGGCCCAGTTTTGGTGGTCCCAGGGCGCGGAATCGACGAAGAACGCGGGGCTGGAAGCACATCGTGCTGGCCAGTGCGGGACCCTGAACAGCAGGGTATTGCACTGTGGACGTGTAAGCTGTGGTGCCAGCTGCGTGATTGAAGCGCAGTGTACGTGGTGCAAGCTAGAGGCGGCAACGAGGCGGCAATGGGCGGCAGCGCGGCGAAGCCTCGGCGGACCCCGAAGCGCGACGAGGCGGCAACGAGGCGGCAACGAGGCGGCAACGAGGCGGCAGCGCCGCGAAGCCTCGGCGGAACCCCGAAGCGCAACGAGGCGGCAACGAGGCGGCGACGGGCGGCCGCGAAACAGCTACAACGATCAAGAGACCCTGCGTGCAGGCACCGTCCGAGGAGCATCGTCGCAGATCCGCGGCCCCCACCCTCCTCCTCGTCCACCTCCTCCTCCTCCTCCTCCTCCTCCTCCTCCTCCTCCTTTCTCCTCCTCCTCCTCCTCCTCCCCCCTTTCTCCTCCTCCTCCTCCTCCTCCTCCTCCTCCTCCTCCTCCCCCTCCTCCTCGTCGCAGAGGTCCCCTACCGCTGCCCCCAGGGGCAGCGCCTCGTCCCCAGAGCCGTGGCGCAACGCTCCCAGGGCCCGAGGGCGGGCCCCGGACGCCGCCGAGGTCGAGGAGCAACGCTGGGGCTTGAAGAGACCACGTCGTCGCAGGTCTGCGCCCTGACTCGCCACCTCTCTTCTCAGGCAGGCTAGGAGGGCGAACGGGTGCACCTGAAGCGTTGGTAGTGGCGGGCTCTCGCCCGCCCGCCTCCCCGCAAGCGCAGAGGCACAAAGTGACGGAGAGGAGGCGCCCCTCCACCACGGCCAGCAGCACGTCCATCCCACCCGCACCTCCCAACCCTCGACCTCTTTTCACACCTTTGAACCGAGCGTGGGGGGGAGGTCAGAAGGGGCGGGCCGTCTCTCAGGAGGCTCGGAAGTCTCCTGGCCTTCTGAGAAGTGTTCCCAAGCCTTACCAGAAGACACGGGTCACTTCTCAGAAGGCACGAGGCCTTCAGAGAAGGCACGAGGCCTTCTGAGAAGGCCTTCTCCTTCTCGCCTCCCGGGGCCCTGAGGGAACGGGGCATTGAGGCTAGGAGTAGGAGGAGGAGGAGGAAGAGGAGGAGGAGGCCTTCTGATTCTCACTTCCCCCCTCGCTCGCCGCCGACCCCTCGGACCCGCAGGTGGCTGATTTAGTGCCCTCCTCCAGGGGCAACATATTGTAGAAGTCCAGACTTCCGGAGCTGCGCGCAAATGGCCAGGACCCGACCCAGGAACTACGCGCGGAGCTCCGAGAACATGTGGCGATGCCATGCTCAATACCTCGAGAAGATCACTAAATACTAAATCAACCACCTGCTGGTTGAAAGGCGTGGGAATTCCCTCGCCTTGCACCTTCGGCACTTTCCGCGCGGCAGGTGCCGCGATGCCGCTGCCGCAGTCGCGGCCACCGTCGAAACCGCGCAGCGATGGCCACCGTCGAGGCCGCAGCGGCGGCACCTTTCGCGCAACGGGCGCGAAAGGTGCAGGCCGAGGGCTGGGGTCGACGATGGGGGCGAGTAGCCCAGGGGGGGGGCATACTGAATGAGGCCCAGGGACGCACAGATTAATAGACACAAGTTCCAGGATTCCCACAAGTTGTTTCATATTGTCTGGCGCTTCGTTTTCCCTCCCACTTATATATTCCCATATCTTCCTGGGAATCGACGATGAGTTGTGTCTGTGTGTGTTTGCCCCCTCATGACAGACATGTACACAAGGACACCGACGGTCCATGTTTTCGGCGAAGCTTCCGGGCGAATGCGTGTAATGCTGGCCCCTGGCCTATTCTACCCAACAAAAAAATAACGAAAAACATCAATACATAAATGCATTCAAAAAAGACATAACAAACTAAAGGCATGCATACGTAAGCCAATACAAGCATAAGTAGGAATAAACGCTTACATACATACATACTTACATAGATAAGTACACACATACATACATGCATACATACAGACAACCATACATACACACAGGTAACACATGAATAACCAAATGCACGCATGTTCCTATTAGCTGTACTAATACAACGAAGCCCAATACACATTGAAAACTGATCCAGCCAGACTTCGGGCCCGGTGGGGGCCGTTGGGTCCAGAACGCGCGCCCCTGGAGGGCGCGAGACGGCCCCCCATGGCCCCAAGAGGGCCACAAGGCGGGCCAACAAGGCTCCAAGGCGCCCAACATGGCCGCAAGACGGCCCAAAACGCCTCCCAAACGCCCCAAGGGCGCCCCAAGAGGCCTCCCAACAGAGCCCCAAGAGGCCAAAACCGTCCAATTCCCGAAGGGAAACGTACATGTAGAGCATCTACGACGTTTGTGATTGTCGACGCCCCAAGACGGCCCACGA